AGATTATTGAGACCTTGACAATCTCCCAAAGGGGTATGTGAGTAAGTGTAAGACAACATTTTAGAAAGAAAGGGGGAAGCAATCCAACTGTGGTGCTTAGAGGTGGAGCTTTTGGGAAGTGATTCAGATTAGATAAGGTCATTAGGGTGGTGCTCCCATGACTGGATACCACTGGCTTTATAAGAATAATGAAAGAGGGGCTGAGAATATGGCTCAGTGGTACAGCGCTTGCCTTGCATGCCTGAAGCCCTGGGTTCGATTCCTCAGCACCACATAAGCAAAAAGAAAAAAGCCGGAAGTGGTGCTGTGGCTCAAGTGTTAGAGCACTAGCCTTGAGCTGAAGAGCTGAGGGACAGCGCTCAGGCCCAGAGTTCAGGCCCCACGACTGGACCAAAAAAAAAAAAAAGAATAGTGGAAGAGGGGCTGGGAAGGTGGCTCAGTGGTAGAGCGCTTGCCTTGCATGCCTGAGACCCTGGGTTCGATTCCTCAGTACCACATAAGCAAAAAAAAAAAAAAAAAGCCGAAGTGGCGCTGTGGCTCAGGTGGTAGAGCGCTAGCCTTGAGTTGAAGAGCTGAGGGACAGCGCCCAGGCCCAGAGTTCAGGCCCCAGGACCAGGCCCCCCCCCCCCAGAAAAAAAAATAGTGAAAGAGAACAGATACTTGAGCACTCCATGCCTCTTGCTATGTGATACTCTGTTCTTTCTTGGCATGCTGCTAGCAAGAAGTCCATTATGTAGCCCATTATCTTTCAACTAGAACAAACCATAAGAAACACCTGTTCTGCCAGCAGTATCTCACACTTATAATCCTAGCTACTCAGGGGCTGAAATCTGAAGATCATGGTTCTAAGCCTACCTTGGTTGCGAAGTCTGAGACATTCTTATCTCCAATTAATCAGCAAAAAGCCAGAAGTGGAGTTTGGGCTCAAGAGGTAGAGCACCAGTAGTGAGTGGGAAAAGTTCCAGTACCAAGCCCCATTACTGGTACAATAACAAAAACAAAACTCCCAAATCATCTTTTTTTTTATTTACCCAATCTGTGGTGTTGTGTTATTGGCAACAGAAAGTGGACTACTACATTCCCTAGTAGACAAATCCATTGAGATAGAAGGTACATTCATGGTTGCTTAGGGCTGGGGAGGGGGAAATGAGGACTTGATGTTTATGGGTTTCACTGAGGGCTGATGAAAACCACCAGGTTGTATACTTTAAATGGGCGAATAATATGGTACATGATTTATATCTTAGAGCTGTTATTTTAAAGATAATGTCCATTACATTCCTCCTCTCTTTTTTCTCCACCAACAATATAAATAAACTTGCCAGCTGTCTGGCAACACCATCATTCCCAAATCCATGCTGCATTTGTGACAATACTATCTCTTCAAGGCTTAGTTAGATACTCATTTTGACTAGATTATTTTCAAGTAAAATGCCAGGGGTGAGGATTGCAGAGGGAACTTACTTTTGACTAGATTTTGAGCTCAGTGCCTACCTACCTATGGAAGATACTGATGAAGGAATGGCCTCAGAACTGAAAGGCCAGAGTCTTCTATGGGCATGGTGACTTACTCCTATTATCTCAGTTACTTGGGGCATAGAGATTGGGAAGTTCATGGTTGAAGTTAAAAAAAATAAGACTTGATCTCAACCAATAAAAATCAGGGTATCATGGTGTATACCTGTTGTCACAGCTATATAGGTAGATTGTGTTTCAGGTCAGCCAAAGCAAAAATATAAGAATGTTCTTGGAAGAGATAGGAGAAATGATGAAATGGGTGAAATTGATCTAGATGCATAATACTCAAAAACAGACATGTTGAATTGAAATCCCTTTGTACAACTATTTAAAAATAATAAAAATAAAATAAAGACTATCTAAAAAGTATAACAACTAGGAATGGGGATGTGCCATAAGTGGCACAGCACAGACCCAGTAAGCACAAGTATGAGCCCTTGAGATCCAACTCAGTATCACCACCACCAACAGCAGCAGCAACAGCAACAACAACAAAAAGACAAGATCTTTATCCTCTTGGAGTTTACAGTGAAAATAAGGCCAAGAGTATACATGGCTGATTTTGCCTTTGGTATCTTTTAAGGGTTCTGACAACTCAAAAAGCATTCTATGGAAGGAAATCATCTTTCTATCCTAGGTATTGAAGTCTTGGGGCCTTTCCCATTACTTCCTGACAACCAGTGTTCTATAAGAGGACCATCAACCTCTTGTTGCCCATCTCTCCTTCTTCTCCTGTCTCCTTGGGGATGCCAGCCACCTCTCACAATAAAGCTGCAGACCTGTGTGCAGTCTTCCTTAGGCAGCACTGGCTTGGAAAGCTGAACAGTATCCCCAAGTCTTATATGGTTCATGGGGTTCTGAATACTGCCAAGATTCCAAGAACTTTTAGACAAGATGGCTTTTAGAACCATTCCCTGTCCCTGCTAAGATGGGGAGTGAATATGAGTGTTGTGGGGAGTAAGGGGTCAGAGTTAGGGCCTCCCTTTCTTGAAGAACTGTGGTGCTTCCAAGAGAGGTAAATTAACCTTTGAATTTTACATGATATTCAGGGAAGGGAGGAGCACCTAAGAACATCACTTCAGCTGACCAGTCCATGAGAGATCTGTGCTTTTAATTTGGGAGGAGGCTCCTGGGTTTCAGTAGTCTTGTTACTTCCAACAATTACAGCATCCTAAGAAGAATACATAAGACGAATAAAGAGTTAGACCATCGACATTGCTTGATGAAGTAGAATATTGGACAGAAACAGGGAAATTGTTGAGTTAGCTTCTTCCAGCAGGCAAAGGAATAAGGAAATAAGAGACCAGAGGATTTAGTGACCTAAAGCGCCAGAGAGTCTTAAGGCTGAAAACAGAGAAGCTGGTAGATGGGGGGGAATCAGATAACAGGAAATTTACAAGTTTCTACCAGCCATAAGGCAATCCCATGAAAACGTGATAGTAGGAACTCTGCTCACAATGAGCCTATAGTAATTTACTTGGTCATAACAATTAATATGCCCGAAACAATTTGTAATTTGCTACTAAAGTGTGATCTTGACCAAAATAATATCCAAGGAGGGAGAGAACATATGGACTGGCATCTACTGTGAGCTGAGTGGCTGAATAAGACAATGTTCACTCATCCAAAGGACTGTATGCCCCAGCTACAGTAATTACAGCTTTTAAAGATGACTGTGTCTGAGTCTTGCCAGATTTCATGGAGGAAGTACAGGGGAGGAAACTTCATCATCACCATTTGTCTATCACCATGATTGTGAAGAGCCATGGTAAACATTCATTGGACATCCCTCTCTGTGTTTACACTTCTAATGGGGAGCCAGAGCAAATACTGAGAGTTGAAGGAATAATGAATGAAAGCATGAGCCAATAACACAAAAAGGAAAATGAGGTTTCAGGAGGTGAGAGAAGGCTTCCTGGAGGAGGTAATATATGACCCCTTGAAGGACAGTTTGGACTAATGGGAGAAAGGGGTGGAGGGACTATAAATGTAATCAACAAGGCACCGTAGGTTGTTGGAGTGAAGAGGGTAAATGTGGTAGGTGAGAAAATCTGCTGTACTAGAACAAATAGGTATGTGGTAGGGTAGAAGGTAGATTTAATGGTAGGTAAAAAATTGCTTTGGAATAAGATAAGAAGAAATTGTGGATTTTTGTGTTAGGGGTATGGTGAAGGCATAGGGAAGAAGGAGAAAAGGCTAAAGAACAACATTGGAGGCCCATACCTGTAATTCTAGCTACTCAGATCAAGGTTCAAAGCCAGCACAGGAAGAAAAGTCTTTGAGACTCCATCCCCAAAATAACCAGCGAAAAGCAGGGTTAGAGGCATGGCTCCAATGGTAGTATGCCAGCAGAGCCAGCATAAGGCTCTGAGTCTAAGCCCCAGAACTGGTAAGCAAACAAACACCACAAAACATTGGAATTTACATTCTTCTTAGCTTTGCTTTCCTGTGTCAGGATGACCATTTTACACAATTCTGGGGAAAGGGGATGAGTTGGTGACTTTGCTTGAAGTGTACCTTATAAACAATTTGTTAAGCAGCCACAGAGGTTCTGTACCATACAGGGCTGATAGAGAACCTTCTTCCTGTTGGGATCTTCCGTGTAATCATCACTTGGTCTAAATATTCTGGAGTGTGGACCTCTTTCATGACATAGGAAGAAGTACCAGCCCCCTCACCCAGCTACAGGTGCAGACGAACATAGCAAATCTACTTCAGAAGGCAACATCCTTTCATGCTGGATCTGTCCTTGAATTGGTCCCAGAGATAGAAGGCAGAAAATGAGGGAAAGTAAAATAAAAAACAAATCCACAGATGACAAAATTAAATCTTTTTGGTGGCTTTAGACTACACCATTCCTCACATACATTCTTTTTACTGATTGCTTGCAGCAAAAAGAGTTGATGACGCAGGCTCTGTTACATTTACATTATTACCAGGAGGCAGATGTTTTTTTTTTCTTTTTCTCTGGGGTTTAGAATTATGCAAATGAGGCCTGGAAACAAAAGCTCAGTGAGGTGGGGGAGGATTGCCCTTAAAAATCCAGGCAATTTTCAGAGCCCTTAAGACACCCCTCTCACTTTTTACTAACAGCTCTCTTGGCTCATTGCCAGTCTATTTTGAATTTGGCACTTTTTCAGATCCTTTCAACCAAAGACCTGAAGGTTATTCTAAAGCTATCCTAGCCTCGTTTCTATAAGAAATCAAGGAATATAATTTGTGCTTTGGAGTGAGTAGGCTAACCTTGAGTCTTGACCTCTAACCTGTTCAATCTTCTCTTTCCTGCAAACATTGTTGCCTGAAAAGGAAACACTGGCCCAACTGCCTCCCAGGTTTCCCCTCCTGTGATATCTGGAGGGCAATAGGACCTGGGAGGCTCAACCCTGCGGCCAAGGGAGACACACCTGCCTAACCGCGTGGGTTGAGCTAGTGTGGGAGCAAGCTACTTAGCTAGCTTTGGAGGGTGGAGTAGAAGTGGGTGACTGCTGCTCTTTGGGAAGAGGAAAGCTGTGGCTCCTTCCTGCGTCCCGGGGTCGTGGTGAGAAGTACTTCTGAAGAGTGGCCCAAGCTCCTAGTTTTGTGGAGCCTCTTCACACGGAGCATCCTTTGGCCGGTCGACCAGGAACTCTGGTTTGTTGTTGGGTCCCTCCCATCTCGCCCGCCCCTCCCCCCACCTGTGTGCTCCCTCCTCAGAGGTGCCTGATGCCACCTACCCCTGGCTGCTCGAACTGCGGGCCAGGCAAGACCCAAACAGTACCGGGCATCACAGTTTGGCGACACCTGCCCGACTGGGTTGGCGCCCTGCCCGTGTGCCTTTCGCTGGCAGTTTCACGGTGAAGGACCCTCTCCACGCTTTACTTGGTTCTATAACGCGCCTACCGAGTGGTGGCATTGCTTCCCCTGGTCCGGCTGCCTTGGGGGCGGGGTTTAGAGAATCCGCGGAGCCACCCAAAGAACCATTGGGTCCGCGCACATCTGGGAGCACCGGTGGGCAGGCGAGCAGGCGAGCTAATAGCCACAACCCAGCAGTAGGTAGAGTGCCTCGGTGCTGAAGTAAAATTCCCTGGAAACGCCCAGGCTGCGCCTCCTCTTCTGCCCTGGCTCAGTTCTCTATTGACTTGAGAGGGCACATTGGTGTGAATTCCTCCCTAGGAGCCACTGTTAGTGCCTGGACAGAGTGGCTACCCTCCTAACTGGGTACCCTCCTACCTGGGGGGCTGCATCTTGAGCCTCCATAGCTGTTCCCATGTCTCTTCGTATGCCAGGAATTGTACTCCAGACTCAGAACTGGGATGTTTGTTTTTGCCTTATCCAAGTTTCTCAGCACGTATGTTGATAGTTGGATTCCTGGGCCAATCAAGATTCAAGTTCAAAGTGGTGCTCCTGGGCTCTTCATCACAGTCTTCAAGTTGAATTGGGTATAGAAGAAAAGAGTCGACTTGACAGAGTCCACTGAATTGTTCCTTGGACTCCAGTGACCACACACGGCTGTGTTGGGGATGGGCGGGGAAGTGCACTGAACAGCAGACCACAACAATCAGAAACCTTACAATGGATAGAGTTTATGAAATTCCTGAGGAACCAAATGTGGATCCAGTTTCCACGCTGGAGGAAGATGTCATACGTGGGCCCAACCCCCGCTTTACCTTTCCATTTGGAATCCTTTTTTCCACCTTTTTGTACTGTGGTGAAGCTGCATCTGCCTTATACCTGGTGAGAATTTATCGAAAGAACAATGAAACCTTCTGGATGACATACACCTTTTCCTTCTTTATGTTTTCATCCATTATGGTCCAGTTGACCCTCATTTTTGTCCACAGAGACCTGGCCAAAGATAAGCCACTCTCATTGTTTATGCACCTAATCCTCTTGGGACCTGTTATTAGGTAAGTATTTTTTAAAATCTCTTTTTGCCCCTTCCAAACTTGTATAGAGGAAGATGAAATTATATTGACATGCTTGATACACGTCTCTAATCTAATGGGTTCTCTCATTTCCTCCCACTCTTGGCTTCTCTTAGCTTCTTCTTTTACCATCCAAAAATCTTATCTGTAACATTAAGAGCAACTAAAATGAACATGTATCATATACCTGTGTTCCCAAGCTGTGAATGATACCATCAATAAGACTTAATTAGGAAACTCTTGTTGTCTGAGGGTTGTAAAGACTGGTGTAGGACCAACAGATGTGGTCACCTGTATATTCAGGCTATAGCTATAATTTTTATGGTGCTATGGATCAAATCTAGGGCCTTAGGCATATTAACCAAACATTCTGCCACTGATCTGTATCTCAGCCCCAGAGTGTATGTACACTTTTATCTGCCTTTTACATGCTATTTGTATATTGGATGAAAGTTACCTCCTGCCTCCGTCCCATTCCAGTTACCTTACTTAGAATTGCTTGGGCTGGTCTTGCTACCATTTTCAAATTTTCCAGAGCCATTTGCCATCTGGAAAATATTTTCAGTCATCTGTAGCAATCTTGTGCCCTAACCTAATGTACTTCCTTTTTCTCTATCAGTTCATCAGTCTCCTGTTTGTTTCTTTGGATATTTCTGTAATAAAGATATACCGTTGGGAAGGAGCAATGGAAGGTAGTCCATCTCTATGTAAGAAGCAGTAGAAAAGTGTAGTTATATGAAGTGTTCCCCATTCAGAATGCTTTGAGGGAACAAACATCTATACTAGCAGTCTCATTTGGATGCTATGGGGTTTGCAAACTAGAGAAACATTGCAAAACTTATGAGGTCAGGAGGGAAGAATGGACCAAGTATGTCATGGCAAGAAGCAAACACCTGCAGTCATCAGCTAAGGAATATAGGGCAGAGTGTTGATGTAATTGCAGTGAGAAGATATCTCATTATTAGAGAACTAAAAACAGGTTGTGAAGCTTCGTAAGGATGGAATTCTCCCCCTTATGAAAAACTTTATTGGCAAATACACACAATTCCTATTTGTCAATTATACCTTTATGAAGCTGGAAAAATTGTTTATCAATATAATTTGGAATGAGGAGGAATTCATTAGGTCCGATCAGAGAAAACAATTGGCTAATAGTGACTTGGATTAGGAGACCTGAAGATTAGTCAACCCTTTGTCATCGACCAATCATTGATGAAATCTCTGAAGATTAGACTCAGTTTCCTCATCTGTAAAGTAGACTGGACTACATCATAAATTTCAAACTCAAATGCTTGCAAGTGCCAGACAGGTTTTAAAAATGAGTAAAGCAGACCAAATGTGAGAGAAAGCTAGCAGTTGCATGAGTTAAGATAAATGAAAACAGAGACTTAGTGCTAATGAAATGAAGGGCAGTTGCAAATACCAGGCAATATGGAATCCATGACTTGTCTATAGAAAGGCAGCCACTCTATGTGTCCAGCCTGTGCTTTTCACGCTGGAATCCAGATTTAATATTACCAAATCCTTTAACTTTTCATAGGTTTCTAATATAGGATTTCATATGAAATTTCATGATTTTAAATTATGGCAGCTGAGTAGAAGCAAAACCAGAGCATGGACTGCACCACACCTACAGCCTCATGCAATCTTTGGACTGGGTGGTCGAAAGTCTAAGTTTCAAATTAAACCTTAAAGGGAAGACCTCATCTTGAACTTGGAATCCAGTAATTTTAAGAAGTCACTAGAAGATTAACAAGACCATTCTTCTTTTTCTATCAGATGTAAAATATTGAGTTAACAGATCAAGAATGCTCAAGATGCAAATTTTAGCAAGTCCCCAGTTTAGACTTCCTTTTTTTGGTTTCTTAGCCACCCTGGTGTTTTTATTTGGTTCATCTATGTAGAATGTTAATCACTGATTTTTCATTTTTGTTGTTGAACCTCCACTAGAAATGATTGGAAAGCCTCTCAGCAACCTAAGCCCACAGCAGGGAAAAAATAACTTAAAAATCACAATTATATTCTCTCTCTTTCTCTCCCTCTCTCTCACTCACTCACTCACTCGCTCTGTACACACACACACACACACACATACACACACACACACACACACACGGAGACAAGTTCCCACTATGTATCCCTGGTTGGCCTGGAACTCACTTCCCTTCTCTCTCAGTCATTTGACTGCTGTGAGCTCATAAGTGTTCCACTGAACCTGGCTTTGTACACTTACTTTCTCTTTTTTTTAATTTATTTTTTACAATTACATGGGCAAGGTAATGAGTACATTTCTTATCAAGCATTGTTGCCTCCTCCTTTGTTTCCCCTTCCCATCCCTTCCCATCCTCCCCCCACACACACTCCCCTTCCTCTCCTCCCATAACCCCCTTTCCCTCTCCCCCCAGCCAAAGTTGTAAAGTTCGTTTTTCGACATAATGCTTTGTACATCTCATTGTTGCAATGGGTCCATCTGTATCCCTATTTAAACAATTTGATGGTAATGGGTTTGAAATTTGGATGCTCTTTTATGGAGCCACACCTCTAATTTATATGCTTATTTTCAAGGCCAATTATTTTTAGGTAGGAAGGAACTTGATTAGTGCTATCAGGCATATGAAAATATTTGTAGGGCCTGTCTCCCTTATATGAAGTACAAATTTTTTTTCTGAAATGAGGATGTACTCTGGCTTAAAAAAGCTTATCAGCAAGGCAAACACCAGTGAATAGTCTTAAGGATAGAGAAGCACGGGCAAAACATTTCATGCCACCACCTGGCCCAGTACTTTGTTCAGTAATAGCCTGCATCAACTGTGGTTAATATCTAAAGTCTTTTGTTGAAAATACATGCATGCATTTTTCCATAAATAGGAAGAAAGTGGTGTTTCTTCTTTGTTTTCCTTCCTTCTATTTCTCACTCAGGTCTTTGAATTTGTCTCTAGAAAGTAGAAATTTCTGACCTCACAGTTTGGACTGATTCACACAATGCAGTCTCAGCGAGAGCCAGCTTGTCGAGGTTGCAGCCAGTACTTGTTCCAAAACTTCTATTGAAATCCAAGGTTTTCTGAGCTTGTTTTTGATCTATTTTTCTCTTAAATTATCTTCTGTTTCCTCTCCGATCATTTCTCACTCTTCTTTTTTCCCTTTCCACTTATTTATTCAGCAAATATTTATCAGATTCTTACTATATGAATGACAAGCGCTGCGAGCAAGATCAATAAAATCCTTGCCCTCAGTCTACTTGTATTCAGAAACGGTCCAGTTTCTATTTATTTCAGGGTGAGTTGGGGAAGTGGTTAACTAAGGTATTCCAAAACAAGATGTTTTATGTTCTAGTTGTTTCTCTTCTATTCACCACATCAGAACTTCTAGAGACTCCTGGTTTAGATGAGGGAAGTGGGAGAGGCTCAGCAGGAAATGTGATTTCATCAATATTTTATGGGTGATAAAAATCACATAAGGATGTTTTCTTCTTTTAAGAAACAAAACTTGATTTTAAAGGTAGTTGTTCCCAAACAAGTGATGAAGCCCAAAACAAAGCACTTCTTGAAAAGCTAGAACCTAAAACCCCAATTCTCAAACTGATTGATTAAAGAATACTTTCAGCTGGCCGCCGATGGCTCACGCCTATAACCCTAGCTACTCAGGAGGCTGAGATCTGAGGATCATGGTTCAAAGCCAGCCCAAGCAGGAAAGTCTGTAAGACTCTTATCTCTAAGTGGTAAAGCACTTGCCTTGAACTAAAGCATTCAGGGACAGTGTCCAGGTCCAGAGTTCAAGCCCCATGACCAATAAAAACAAACAAACAAAAAAGAACACTTTCATTTAGGAATTAAAGGTGTTAGTAAGACCAGGGCTTTTTTGAACCTTTGTCTTTCTCTCTGAACATAGTATTTTCTTAATACAAGCACATTTTTAAAAATTTATATTGCAGGCCTATTAAGGAAACAAAACAATTTTTGTCAACAAAGAAATACTCCTGAAATGATGTTTTTAGGTCAATAAATGACTAAATAAAATAGGACTTAAACTCAATGTATAGAATGCAATAAAGGAAATGGCAATATGTAGCACAATTTCCCCAAGATTCCCACCCACCCTTCTCATCACAACCTCCTTTTCCTTTAGTTAAGTTCCCATGATGCTTTACTTCTGCAGATGTTTGGAGGCCATGATTAAGTACCTCACACTGTGGAAGAAAGAGGGACAGGAGGAGCCCTATGTCAGCCTGACCCGAAAGAAGATGCTAATAGATGGCCAGGAGGTACTGATAGAATGGGAGGTGGGCCACTCCATCCGGACCCTGGCTATGCACCGCAATGCCTACAAACGTATGTCACAGATCCAAGCCTTCCTGGGCTCAGTGCCTCAGTTGACCTATCAGCTCTATGTGACCCTGATCTCTGCAGAGGTCCTCCTGGGTAGAGGTGAGTGGGTTCAGGAGAGGGGAGGGACTTAGAATTATGTGCTGCCAAAGAAAGGGACTTAGAAGTCTGGATCTGAGCTGTCTAATATACTGGCTACTAGCTTCAGGTAAACATTTAAAGAGAAAAAATAATTTAATAAAATATACTTTCTCAGAAATACTGGCCATATTTCAAATGCTTAATAGCCATATATGACTAGTATTATTTCGGATGTCACAAATGTACATTTCTGTCATCACAAAAGATTCTATTGGACAGCAGTAGTAGATAGTTAAAGACTTTGGGAAACAGGCATCTCAGATCTCTCAGATTTCTTAACCAGGTTAAGCTGTGTAAACTAAAAATGTCACAAATATCTCTCTGGCTCTAGAAGTTACTAGCACTACTAGTCAGTGGGATGTTTTCTCTTACCCAGAGAGTTTAAGTGCTGTAGATTGTTTTGTTTATTTAGAGATGACTATTTAGAGAAGTTCCCAAATATTAACTGATCCTCAGAATTATGTAGTAATGTTCTTAAATTTCTATCTCTCCTATAGACCTGAATCGATCCCAGAATATGGGGAGTGCAGGAATCTGTATTTGTTAACAACTAGACTGATTGGTTCTAATCAACCTCATTTCTTCCAATGTCAGTGGAGAGAAGAAAAGAGGTTTGGGATGAAAACTGATAAGAGTGAGCTCTAATCCAAGCTCTGACCTTCACTGTGATTTTGGAGGAAGTTACAAAGCAGTCCCTGCCATAAGTTTCTCACTTGTGAAAGAGGGATCCTGAGATGAGTAAGACCTCTAAGCAGAGGATAAAATGTGAGTCAGTGTTTTCAAAGTCAAGATAAAGTGCTGTTAATGAGCTTTAACAGCCTGACATTGTCTTTACCTGGTTGGATATAATCTGATTCCAGTATGGGTAAAGTGTTAGACCATTTCTTTGTCATTAAGTACCTGTCTCAAATAAGTGCAAGGGGCTGACTTGTTTTGTTCTCTTTTTTTCTCCTTCAATAATTGCCCATGAAGTTCTGTTGCATTTGAAGCTTTTCACTGGAATTAACAGTAGTTGAGGAGATAACTTGCTGGAGATGATGCTTTTGCTACTGAGAATTGTGAAAGTCATCAAAGGCTCTCATTAAAAATATATATAGCCAGGCACCAATGGCTCACACCTATAATCCTAGCTACTCAGGAGGCTTAGATCTGAACATCTCAATTCAAAGCCAGCCCAGGCAGACAAATCTGCTAAACCCTTATTTCCAATTAACCAGCAAAATGTGGGAAGTAGAGGCATGGCATGTGGTAAAGCACCACACATGAATGAAAAAAATCAACCAAGAGTGTGGTGCCCCTGAGTTCAAGTCCCATACTGGCTCAAAAAGAAACAAAACAATAACAATAACAAATATATTACACATAAAAGTAATACATGCACCATCTGATTGGCCTACAGGTATTCATACATGCAGAGAAGGTTTCTAGAAAGCTATGAAAAGAACTGTCAGGAGTGAGAGTGAGAAACTAGGAGCCTTTTACTCATACTTTACATAGTTTTTGTTTACATATGCATAAGTTAAATGTGCATGTACACAGAATAAATGTGCAATGTCTATATTTAATATGCACAGTATACCTTGGAATATGTTTTGCGTTTTGAAGTATTACCATTTTATATACTAAAATTCCTCATTGTTTTTAGATTGTGTTCCTTTCTTGAATTTTTTATCTGGTAGAACAATTTATTCCAGTCTTCCATACAGATTAATTTCCAAGATCAATTTGTCCTCCACCAAAAATGAAATAAAGCATACAATAACAACATAAAAAACATTTTGTTTAGATTGTGATTGCATTAAATTATTATGGTTTTTTTAGGATTTATTGATTTAATATTAGGAGAAGATCATTTATATTTCATTAAATATTTTCAAATGTACTTCAGAGAAATACTAGGTTCTTACTATAGGTTCTTACTATAGGTTTTGCACATTTTTGGTGAGACTAACTTTTAGATTTTTTTCAGTTGTTTTTTGTTGTTGTTGTTTGGTGGGGGTTTTTGGTTTGTTTGTTTGTTTGTTTGTTTTGGTCATGGGGCTTGAACTCAGGGCTCAGGCATTATCCCTGAGCTCTCTTGCTCAAGGCTATTGCTCTACCAGTTTGAGACAAATGCTCCACTTCCAGTTTTCTGCTGGTTAATTAGAGATACGAGTCTTACAGATTTTCCTGCCCTGGATGGTGTCGAACCACGATCCTCAGATCTCAGCCTCCTGAGTAGCTAGGATTATAGGCATGAACCATGCCTGGATGTTTTTTTAGTTTTTGAATATCCTTATTTTCTAAGTGCCAAGGTAGTGCCAAGGTCACCTACTATATTTTTGGAAGTGAAGAGCAAGAAGAAGGGAAAAAAGAAGCTCGAAGCTAGCAGATAGCATTTACTAGCTTCTCAAAGTTTCTCTAAGTCCTTTACATGTAATTATTTCATTTAATCTTCACTACAATTCTATGAAGTTATAATTATTCCCATTTTTACAAATGAGGAAAAAGCCATTGAGAGGTAAAGTAAAGTCTTCTTAGGTTCCCTAAGTAAGAGGTAAGCAAAAACTGGGTAGGAATTCAGAATCTCTGTCACCAGAGTCCATGTTTCCAATTATAACAATGTTTTGATCTCTTATGGTATGAGTCTATTTGTAGGGAGACAGAAAATATTTTTACATTTATTGGAAACACTAAGTTTTCTTCCATTAACTAGTATCAATAAGAGAGTTCTGACTGAAGGGAAGGCACTGCCCACTTTGTTAGTTGTATATAGACTTCAAAGTTCCCAGCTCTAAAAAGAGCATCCGCTCTTGAGAATAGGCCCAAGAATGGCTTAGCAACCCAAGAACAGCCACTTAGAGAATCTCCCATTCTAGGATAATTTTAGATCTGATGAACTTAAAAACAGAGCTATGCTTCTTTTTGGATTTTCCTGGGGAAGGCCTCACTATTCTTGCAGATTACATTGACGTACATCTCTATGTTTTCTGTTTCTCTGAATTTATCGTCTTCATGGAAAGAGGATGATCCAGTTTTCCTTTGGGATGAAGCCTCCCACTTTCCTTGAGAGCTCTAGCTATATTGCTGTTAATTGTTTTTTAGTAACCAATATCATTTGTCATAAAGGGAGAAAGGAAAAGATCACTTGTGTAGTGTATAGTTGAAGCTTAATAAGGGCAGGTTAGGAAACATTGTAACACCTTGGGGTTCCTACTCTAACAAAGTGTTAGATGTCAAGTAGGCTGGAAACAGGGGTCTAAATTTTTGAACCACTCTATTGAAAGTTTAGAGATTCCTAAAATGTACCCAAGTATGAGGTGATGAATTGTCATAATTGATACCAGATACAGCAAATCTAAACGATCTCAGTGAATTGCTAACTTGGGGCACATAGACAGTCAATGACTTCCATAAGCGTCCATATAGCTTATTCAAATGTCTCTAATCTTAGATATTTTATGCTGTTTTCTATAAGCCCAAGTGCTTTATTAATTTATTAAGCACCTATTCTGTTCCAAATGGTGTATGAGGATACAGTAGTGAACAGAATAGATAGGGTTCCTTTTGTCCCCATGGAATTTCCAATACTTCTTTAGTTATATGCAACTGGAGCTAGACAATCTAGAAGCACACACTAACAAGATTAGTTCCTTGAAGAAGATATATATATATATATCAAAGGGGGAACCTCAATTAGATAGGAAATTCTGTGTAAATCTTCCTGATTGTATTTTTAATAATCTTTTTCCTACCTCACTTAATGTTCACTCAAATACCTGCTCCCTAAGGTAGGTCTGCCCTATACTTGTACTCTTCTTATGGTAATGGCTTCTCAATGGTAGGCCTATCATTTGAAAAGGTTTATTTTGTGTATTTATATGATTATTAAAGTATTACAGTATATATTTAAAATTGGAAATGTACAAATCAGAAAAATATATAATACTACCCCTCCCTCCCTTTCTCCCTCCCTCCCTTCCTTCCTTCCTTTCCTCAGTGCTAGTGACTGAACCCAGAGCTTTGTGCATGATAGGTAAGTTGTCCAGTAATGAGCTACATATATCCCCAGTTTTAATATCTGTTTTAAAATCTGATATAAAATTCTCACATAAATGTGAGATATCTTTATTTCCAATTTCTCTGTGTATGATATTTTATTGAATACATATCAGGTATACAATGTTTCCTCATGATTACTAGGAAAGAACTCTTAACATTTGAACCATATCCTCAATACTTAATGCTTTTAGTTTGTTTTCAAATAGGAGCTTGCACTTATTCTCTTGAACTGACCTTTATATGATCCTCCTACATCTGCATCCCAAGTAGCTGGGATAATAGGTGTGTACCACTACACCTGGCTTTTTTTTGAGATAGGGTCATGCTATGTAGCAGAAGCTACCATGGACTTCACTATGTAGCCCAGGCTGAGTGGCCTCAACTTGCAAACCTCCTGCCTCAATCTCTTCCATGCTAGAATTACAGTGTACTATTATATCAGCTCACAGTGTGACATTTTGATATATATATATATATATATATATATATATATAGTGAAACAATTACCACAATCAAAATAATTCATATATTCATTACTTCACATAATTATCATTTGTATATATGTGGTGGAAACATATAAAATCCACTCATTTTTATTGGAAAGGTAATATATAGAAGGATTACAGTTACATAAGTCAGGTGATGAGTACACCTAGATTTACACTTTTTCTTTTTTTGTCTATTATGGGGCCTGAACTCTGGGCCTGAGTGCTGTCCCTTGGCTCTTCAGCTCAAAGCTACCACTCTACCACTTGAGCCACAGCGCCACTTCCAGCTTTTTCTGTTTATGTGGTGCGGAGGAATCAAACCCAGGGCCTCATGTATGCAAGGCAAGCATTCTACCACTGAGCCACCTTCCCAGCCCTAGATCTACTATTAAAAAGAAAATTACATTATTATCAACTATAGCTACCACGCTGTATATATATTATGTCTTACACACTTATTCATCTTGTAACTGAAAGCTTATACACTTTTACCAAAACTCTCCCATTTCTTCCAACCCCTAGAAAATCAGTTATATTCTATGAGCTCAACATTTTTAGTTTCTATGTATAAATGAGATAACACAGTATAAATCTTTGTTTGTCTGTTTCACTTCATTTAACCTAATGTCTTCTAGCTTCATCCATGTTGTTAGAAATCACAGAATTTCCTTCTTTTTTATGTCTGAATAGCACTTCATTGTATGTATACAATAACTGATCTATTAATCTACCAACAGACATTTATATTGTTATATGTAGTCTGTTGTTAATAGCACTGCAATGAACACAGGTGTGCAGATGTCTCTTTAACACACTGATTTCCTTTTCTTTGGATATATACCCAGGAGTGGGATTGCTGGATCATATGGTAGTTTTATTTTTGGTTTTGAGGAGCCTCCACACTGTTTCCCACAATGACTTTATCAATTTTTATTCTCACCAACAGTGTGCAAGAGTTCCCTCCTTGCCAACAGTTACTTCTGTGTGTGTGTGTGTGTGTGTGTGTGTGTACCAGGACTTGAAATCAAGGCTTCACATTCTCACTTGGCTGGACTCTATCATGTGTGCCATGCTTCCAGTCCAGCATTCAGCTGGTTAATGAAGATGTTTCTCTGGGCTAACTTTGAACTGTGATCCTTAGATGTTAGCCTACCGAGTAGCTATGGTTATAAGTGTGAGCCACCACATTCAGCCAATTTTTTTTCTTTTAATCATTGGCACCCTAATAGGTTTTGGAGTGTTTTTTGTGCTGGTCCTGGGGTTTGAACTCAGGGTATAGGTGCTGCCCCTGTGCTTTTTTCCCCCTCAAAGCTAGTGCTCTACCTCTTGAGCCACAGCTCCACTTCTGGGTTTTTTTTCTAGTGGTAGTTTATTGGAGGAAAGAGTCTCACACACTTTTCTGCCTGGTCTGACTTTGAACTATGATCCTTAGATTTCAGCCTCCTGAGTAGTTAGAATTATAGGCATGAGTTACCAGTGTCTGTCTAATACCTTAATAGGCATGTTTTAGCAAGGTTGAAGATGGAACCAAAAAGACTTATGCACACTCGTCAAGAGCTCTACCATTGAGCTATACCCCCAGCCCTCACTGTACTTTTGATTTGCATATCTCTGATTATTAGTGATGCTGAGAACCTTTTCCTTTTATCTTTTGGCCATTTACCTTCTGTGGGGAAATTTCTATTCAGGTGCATACTGTTTGTTTACATAGCTCTGATCCCAGGTAAGTTACTCTTAACTGTGTCTACCAAGTTCTACCTGTTGTCTCTCTGTACTTCTGGGTCTGAGTACAGGTTGTGTTGCCAGCATTGACTCTGCCTTTTTTTCTGTTCCTTGTTTGTTTTATTTTACAGCTGTGCTAATGGTCTTTTCCCTGATATCTGTTACCTATGGGGCTACCCTCTGCAATATGTTGGCTATCCAGATCAAGTATGATGACTACAAGATTCGCCTTGGGCCATTGGAAGTGCTTTGCATCACCATCTGGAGGACGCTGGAGATTACTTCCCGCCTTGTGATTCTGGTGCTCTTCTCAGCCACCTTGAAGTTGAAGGCTGTGCCCTTCTTAGTTCTCAACTTCCTGATCATCCTCTTTGAGCCTTGGGTTAAGTTCTGGAGGAGTGGTGCCCAGATGCCCAACAATATTGAGAAAAATTTTAGCCGAGTTGGCACACTGGTGGTACTAATTTCAGTCACCATCCTCTATGCTGGAATCAACTTCTCTTGCTGGTCAGCCTTACAGTTGAGGTTGGCAGACAGAGATCTTGTTGACAAAGGGCAGAACTGGGGACATATGGGCCTGCACTATAGTGTGAGGTTGGTAGAGAATGTGATCATGGTCTTGGTTTTTAAGTTTTTCGGAGTCAAAGTGTTACTGAATTACTGCCATTCCTTGATTGCTTTGCAGCTCATTATTGCTTACATAATTTCCATTGGCTTCATGCTTCTTTTCTTTCAGTACTTGCATCCACTGCGCTCCCTCTTCACTCATAATGTAGTGGACTATCTTCACTGTGTCTGCTGCCACCAGCACCAGGCAAGGGCTGGTGACTCAGAGCCATCCCTTGAAAATGAAACAAGACAAAGCATTGTCTGAATTTACCTTCAGTATATTATAGGATAGCCCAGGAATTGCCAAAGGCCAGTGTGAAATTGAAGGACAGGGCAGGACTCCTGGGGAAATACTACCCAGAAAGTTTTCTGGGGTTCTCTCATAAGCCTAGCAGGAGAAAAAGTGACTTGCACATAAGTTTTATAGCTATATTTGAACATCAGGGCTAACCACTGCTTAGTTGGAAGGGTTAGTGATACTGTTCATGCCTTTCCTATCCAAGTCTGTTGGGCTAACTTACCTGCAAGCACCTCAGGGTCCCTGTGACTTTCTAGCTATGTTCATTTGCTTGAGGCTTTACTGAGTTTCCCTGGGATGAGATAAAGGCTGAAAATCCTACCACAATAAATTCTGACTGATCAGCTTACTAGCCTATTTGTTAGCTATGGGTAGTTTCCAGGAGATAAGTCTAACTATTGTAGAACCTGAAACTGAGTATGACTGAAGTTTTAAAAATTCTAATGAGAAATCAAGTACTAGTGGCTCATGCCTGTAATCCTAGCTACTCAGGAGGTTGAGATCTGAGGATCATGAAAAGCTAGCCTGTGCAAGAAAGTCTGTGAGCCTCTTATCTCCAATTTACCATTGACAAACCAGAAGTGAAGCTGTGTCTCAAAGTGGTAGAACATTAGCCTAGAGCAGAAGAGCTCAGGGATAGCACCCAAGCCCCAAGTTCAAGCCCCATGACCACCAACACCAATAACAAAAAATTCAAGACGACCTGGCTAAGAAGAAAACCCACACTATTAAAAGAACTCTTTTTCAAATTAGTTAGCTCTCCATTGGGACTTTAAAAATGGACATTCAGGCCAGGCACCAGTGGCTCACGCCTGTAATCCTAGCTACTCAGGAGGCTGAGATCTGAGGATCATGGTTCAAAGCCAGCCCAGGCAAGGAAAGTCCGTGAGACTCTTGTCTCCAATAAACCACTAGAAAACCAGAAGTGGCGCTGTGGCTCAAGTGGTACAGCGCTCACCTTGAGCTGAAGAGCTGAGGGACAGTGCCCAAGCCCAGAGTTCAAGTCCCACGACCAGCCAAAAAAAAAAAAAAAGGACATACAGCAAGGGCCTCTCTTTTTCCAGTGGTCCTTCGTAGGTGTACTCTGAGGAAGGAATAAAGAGTAGGATTCCTTCAGGGCTTAAGAATGGCTGTTCTCAGGGATCTGTGTGAGTCTCCAGCTAATTAAGTAGAATGGTTGAAAAATGTCTCACTCAGTGCCTCATTAACAGGGATTCCCACCAACCCAGCTTTTCTGTGCTCTTTGCATTTTATTATTTGATGTGACCCTCAGGGAAATGGAACTGTAACTGAAAATGTTTCTGACGTGTGCAAGAAATGAAGACTACCTTGTGTCTGACACTGTCCTGAGTATTTCATTGATTTGGATTTTTGGGAGGTCATTACCTTAGTGTTGTTTGGAATTGGGATGAATGGCTAACATGCCAAGGAAGAATGAAGGTGGAGGAGGAAAACCAGATCATATTAAATGGACACTAGTACTGGATCCTGCCTGCAAAATTATACTTTCTAATAAGGACAGATTTGTCAACCCTGGGAATGGTTTCTTTTTCCTACCCCCAGAGAATGAATATGTGACTCATTCCTATACCTCAAATGTTTGTATTTCCTATCAGTTGAGTTTTTGGTGGGCATGTCAGCTGAATGTCTCTAAGGCAACCATCCCATTGAAGTTACTATGGTCTCTGCTTACTGGGACCATGTATGCCAATATTTACCAAAAAAATTCTTGTCCCTCACAGACCAAGCAAGTGAGATACACCCTCAGAAGTATACACCAGTTCTGACCACCACAATGCTAAAGAAACTGTAAACAGTCTGACCTAAGACTTCCCATTACCTTCCAGTTTTACTCTTGGGATCATGCTAAGAACTTAATAGCCATTCCCCTTCCTTTTATTCACGTCTTCTAAGTAGTGGCTCATTAACCAGAATTATTGTGTTTCTTGGGATGTCTAGTATAGTTTACCCAACTTACATGGCTACTTAATTTGTGGGAGAATAGAGTGGCTTACATTGAAGTAGCAGAGATTCATTTAATAACCTCAACTCCCTCATACCATTTTTCATGATCAAGAGACTTGGGTTGTTGTCCTAAAAAGTACACCTTAATTTCTGACTATTATTTAAAAGTGAAATTGATAGAAATAGTCTGTCAGACCTCCAAAAGAACATACTGCCTTTTTGGATCTCCAGCAGAAATGTCTCTCCAGTGGTCAACATGTCCTCAATTAAGAGCAATAGCAGCATGGAACAATAATTTGGGGACATAAAAGCAATATGAATCAGCTACTTAGGAGGAAGGTACTAACGAAACATAGGGACACATACACTGAGTCAGGCAGGACAATTAGAGGTAGACAAGAGATGCACAAGACAGAAAAGAGTGCCTCAGTGTCTAACAGGCAAATTTGTCCTCCCAAGTGTGTCTTTGTAGCCTCAGTTACTTCATATGCTAGGAATGCAGAGAGATGAGGGACAGAGTAGCTTCCAACCTGAAAAACCTGCTGCCCTCACCCAAAGAGAAGAGACTCTAATGATACATCATGTAAATGAACCCCAATGCCTCCTACTGGTAGTGAGTGACCTTGGTGTTCCACAGAAATCTTCCATATACAGAAAGTGTAATGGCTAGACAGGGGGAGTACTCCTTTCCATTTGTAAACACTTTTTAATTGACTACTCACTTTATAGTCTAAAATCTTAAAGGGTACATGTACAGGGACATCTCCTGTTGAATGGAAGAGGAGGCAGAGATGGGGCCAGTATATGGCTCCTGAAAAAGGAAAGCAGAAACTCAAAGTTTGGGAGAAAGAAGTATGCTATTGTTACAACAGCAATTCTTATATTATTGAAAATTTGGTAGCTTAAGTATGGGCAAATTAGCACACTAGTGACATGGAGTAAGTAATAATTGTTCATTTCATTTCCCCTACAGGTCTATGGACATAGACCTGTGAGGCACTGTAAGAAAATGAAATAATAGCTCATTAAAGAAAGGAACCATAAGCCAGGTATTGGTGGCTCACACTTCTAATCCTGGCTACTCAGGAGGCTGAGATCTGAGGATCGCAGTTCAAAGCCTTCCTAGGCAGGAAGGTCTGTGAGACTCATCTCCAATAAACCACCAGAAAAACGGAAGTGGTGCTGTGGTTCAATTGGTAAGAGTGCTAGCCTTGAGCTGAAGAGCTGAGGGACAGCACCGAGGCTCAGAGTTCAAGCCCCACAACCAACAACAGCAACAACAAAACCCACAAAAAGTACAATTCTGGACCAGTAGCTGGTGGTTCATGCCTTAATCCCAACTACTTGGGGAGCTGAGATCTGAGTATTACAATTTGAAGCCAATCTGGGTAGGAAAGTCCATGAGACTCATCTCCAATTAAGCACCCCAAAAAACTACATGTAGAGCTGTGGCTCAAGTGGTAGAACACTAACCTTAAGCAAAAACAACAACAACAACAACAAACTTAGGAACAGCACCCAGTCTCTCTGAGTTCAAGCCCTAGGACTACTGGCACACACACACACACACACACACAAACTGGGTACCAATGGCTCAAGCCTATAATATAACATACTAGGGAGGCTGAGATCTAGGTATCATAGTTCAAAGCCAGCCCAGGCAGAAAAGTCCATGAGACTCTTATCTCCAATTAATTACCAAAAAAGCAGGGAATTGAGTTGTAGTTCAAGTGATAGAGTGCCAACCTTGAGTGAAAAAAGCAAGGTAAGAGCATGAGGCCTTGAGTCCAAGCCCCCAGTACCAATACCAAAAAAGGTTCATATTCATGACTACTGTGTGTGTGTGTGTGTGTGTGTGTATTAAGACTCTAAGGCATAAAAGCTTAAGTAACCTGCCTAAGGAAGTAGCTAGTATCAGAAGGTTCAGTTTTTGGCCCAAAGGCTCCAGAGTTTACATGTTTAATAATAACCCAAGTCATTAAGTCCTCTTAAGGTCTGTGAAATTATTTTAATATATTAGTATACTATTTCAGGAGTCTTTCCTGAGATAAAACTGGGTTCAGGTCAAACATTTTACAAAAACTTCTTAGCAAAATGTACCATTCAATTCACTCTAAAGAGAGAAGAATCAAGTCCAAAAAAGCCAGAGATGAAAACTGAGTGTGATCACATGCACTTGTAGAATGAAACAAAGAGCATGGGAGGATGGATGATAAAGGGGCCTAGTTCCTCTCTAGCAATTTTCACTCATGTATGTCTGACAAGGCATTTCTAAAGGTCACCCTTTAATGTTTGCTGTTACTGAGATTCTGAATCTGAGTTCTAGAGTGGCTCAGAGTGGTAGAGTGCTGTGGCTGAAAGCTTAGGTCATTCCTCAGTGCCCTTTGAGCTAGCCTCCTCACACCTTACACCTCAGAAAGTTGTATTCATTATCACTACAGAGGTCATTGCTATTTCCCTGTGTATAGTACTCACCAGGATGATCCATGATCCATCTGAGGACCTGTATCTCTATCTTTCAGATGTCCTTAAGTACAAAATCAGTTGACTCTGGTCTCTTCAAAATATATTCCTTTCTAAAAGTGAGAACCCTCAATCTCTGGAGATTTTACTATTGTCTTCTCTTACTACCTTTATTCTTAGCCTTTCCTCTGGAAACACTGGCACAATTGGTCTCACACTTTAGACCTTAAAATCTTGGCGTCTCACAGTGAAAGTATGTCATTCATAGGCCTTGTTAAGAAAAATACGTGAGGGCTTGGGAATATGGCTTAGTGGTAGAGTGCTTGCCTAGCATGCATGAAGCCCTCGGTTCGATACCTCAGTACCACATAAACAGAAAGAGCCAGAAGTGGTGCTATGACGCAGAGTGGTAGAGTGCTAGCCTTGAGCAAATGAAGCTCAGAGACAGTGCCCAGGCCCTGATTTCAAGCCCCAGGACTGGCAAAAAAGAAAACTACGTTAAATAGTAGTAATGAGAACAACATTCATGAGATATGATCACATTTTATGTATGAAAATAACATCTGACATATTTACATGTTATAAATATGTCATTGTTAAGACAATCCCTTTAAGTCATATGTGTGGGTTTGCATTGTTCTAAACTTCATTTCACTATCTTGTGTGAAAGACATCTCTATGGATAACCCATAAGTTCTAAAAGACTGAAAAAATGAATTCCAATTCTCTGAGGTAAGTGATGTTGGAGTCCTCTATTGCAATGGCTGTAAAATATTGGAACACCTTTTTAGAAGGCGTTTTGTCAATATTTTTTCAAGCTTAAGTGGGAATATATTTCATCTCAGAATTTTAACCTCTTGAAAAGTTTCCTGTCATCATTGTACAAAGAAATATATACAGGAATGTTCATTGCACTACTGTTGACAATGGTAAAAAAAATTGGCTACAATTTTTTTCTCTTTGGGGAAATGATTCAGTTCTGCCAATTTTGATAATCAGGATGTTCTCTAACCATTAAGAAGAATGGGGGAGATACAGACAGGAGATGCTGAGTGAAAAG